TTAAAAAGTAATTAGCGATGTATTCTTAAATTAGCAATGTTTCCTTAGTAAATATGACATATAATATAAGCATTATAATGTTTTTCAATTTTTTTTACGTTGTGTCTATTTGCAAAACATGCCCAAATAAAATTGCAATACAATTAATTAAAATATTGCACACATACATCAAAATTGAGTGTAATATAAAGAAATGTTCAACAAATCAGAATCTGTTTACACTTTTTACCTAGCTTCAGTGGAACATTTTCTATCTTCAGTAGAAAATATAGTAAAATTAGAAACATCAGCCAGCACACAGGTAAAAAACTAAATCAACTGGACCAGCACGGTAAATGTTAAAAAAGATTATAGTGTAGAATTATTATTAAAGATTATTTTGTTAAAAAAGATTTGAGTAAAAAATACTATTATTATTTGGCTTATCATCATACAAGGTTTTCATAACAGTTCAAAACATTCCTTGAATCATCAGATTTTTTTTATGCTCAGCTCCTTGATGTAAAAGATAAAAAAATGAAACACCCTCTGTCTTATTCTGTAGATCTATGTATTGAATAAGGATGAAGGTGGACAAGAAAACCCAATTGTGCCATATTCTAAGCCTCATATGTATTCAAGAACATGGGACTGCACAACTGGTATCTACTTAAGGGATAAAGAGATGGTGATGCCTGGCGAAGATGCTTCGTAAGTAGAATTTTCTTCTTATAAATATTGACAAAAGGAGCTTTACAAATTTTTTATTGGCTAAATTTTTTATTTAGGGTAGAATTAAGATTATATAAATCTATGGTAATGGAGCAAGGTCAGAAATTCACCTTGCGTGCTGGTAAACGTACACTTGGCACGGGTGTCATTACTAAATTATTACCTCCCTTAACACCTGAAGAAAAAGCTGATCTTGGAAAATCAAAGAAAAAGAGAATGAAAGAACTAGAAAAAGCAAATTAAACATTTATGTGCAAAGTATAAAAAGAAATTTAGTATTCTTTAAAATAAAAAGTACATGTAGTTTTTCTTAATAGAGTACAACTGTTTCTTGTTTAATTTTTTTTATTTTGTGAGCAAATATGCAAAATTTAAATGTATACAAAGCAATATTAATTTGAATTCTAACAAGTATAATATATTGTGAAAACTTTATGTATCATAATTAGGATAGGAAATGGTAAAAATTTGAGATGATAGATAAAAATTATGTACATGAGACCACAAATTTGATAATAATTAAAAACATTTGGCACAAAAAAAAGCTGGAAAATATGTACAATAATTAACATGATATTGATACTAGCAAGATGATTTTTCACATTCTGTAGTGAAATAATGCTAAACATAGATAATTTGTTGAAAAATTACATATTGTTTATCAGCATATGAAAAAATATCGCTAGCATCCACATCATTTATAGTAAATGTATTAATAATCACACACTGTTCACAGAAAATTAAAATTTGGTTTAAACCAGTTAAGTTAGATGGAATCATTAAAGTTGTGTAGTTATGTAAAAAGCACAATTTTTTTTTTACAGTTATGAATATGAGCAGACAAAATTGGAGGCACAAGTTGTAAAGCACGTGTTAAAAAAAAAGATGTCGGGCAGCATAAATGAAATCTCTGCATATAGATATATCATATATAAATATATAATTGTGCTAAAAGTGCATAAAGTTTGTAAAATTTATGAACATCTTAAAGATATTATTGCCTTCATTTGATTTTTCACAGCGTTGCCACCATGCTCATACATTCTAATTATTATCTTTTCTCAAGGATTAGGATTAGAAAAGGCACAGTTATTACAGATTGGGCAATTAGGTTGGGAAATTAAAGTTTACTAGTTAGAAATGGGAGTATTCCTATAAGACTTGTTTTTGTCTTATAATCTATTCAGGCATTGAAAGAAATTAATTTGAAATGGCACCATAAATTCAGTTTCTGCATAGCTTCACATGATGGAATGCTATTTTTTTTTTTTTTTTTGACAGAATTATCCCATTTCTATTAAAATTGAATATTGCTGTCCGTGCATTTGAAGAATCACAAATAATCATTGATAAAATGTTCTTGCATCTCTGGGTTGGCACATTATATCGCTGAAAATATACATAAATGTATATACAATGTAATGAGTGCATCTGTTAATAGAGAAAATTAAGCTGCCCATATATTTAGTCTGAATGGTCCCTTTTTATATAAAATTGGGACAAAAAATTAGCTTCCATCAACCTCGAATCTTTCTCCAGGACTGATGGGGCTGGTTTCGCTCAGACTGGGAAGAGTAATTTCTCCCGACACTTTCCTATCAAAATAAACGTGAAATGTGTTAACAAAGCATAAGTAAAGTACTTGTAAAAAAATGTTCAAATGTTTTACCTTTCAAGTAACAATCCATATGCAGAAGGAGCTGAATTTGACCTTCCAGTCTTATGCAAGAGTCCTCGATTGAAGATTGGACTCTCTCGGAAAGGATGACCAAATGAATGCTTCTTCAGCATACTTTTAACTAGAATCTAATCAAAAGTATATATACAAATATATATTAAAATTTTCAATAGATCTTGTTTTAACAGATCACTCAGGCCATCAAGAATTCATTATATTACAAACAACAATCTATTATGTTTAAAAAAGAATTTTTTTACCCTTATATAAGAAAAACCTGTATTTGAAATTATCTTCTATCTTTTATTCTGTAGAAATCTGTATTTTACAAGATTGTTGTATGCATATATGCGTAATGTACAAAGCTAATGAAAACTATATAGCACAAAAAGAGGCAAAGTACCTGTACAACACATACACCCATTATCACTTCACTTGGCTTCACAATTTGTTAAAAAATTCTCATTCATCTTGGTTTGTTGTGATGCCACTTTTCAGCATATTGAGTACAACAACCAGAAGTAGCTTCCTGCCAATAATCAATGTGCTACTTTCCCATAGCACAATGATTATTGGCAGGAAAGTTAGCAAATGTATACCAAGATGATTGTACATGTATTTTACTTTGTATTTTGCTTATTAGAAGAATAAAATCCATTATACTCAAAATAGAACATTACATATTACATTTTATTGTTCATGTCAAGGTGTGAAAAGCAACCATTATTGGAAATAGGGTTATTTCTTGGGGATTGTGAAGATATTTTGCCAGAATTTGTTATACTGAACTGTAAATTGTGTTTAAGGCAACTTAACTATGAAATTTTAAAAAATTCTCATTACATAAATACTGAACATTTAAACTGCTAATTTACATTTTCATAAATATTCAAACACAATGCAACATTGTGGTAATTCTCCTTACCAAAATATACCACACTTCCATAATAAATCATGAAATACAAAATTTGCCAGTGTATGATTTTCAAGGATAAAAATTAAGATTTTTGCCAAAAAAGTTAATGGTATAATTTTTAAACTTAATCATACACAATAGCCCCTCATCAGTCTGACCTATTTGGATATACCCAAAATGCATATCTGACAAAAGTATTTTATTGCCAATCTTTCTAAAACAGTAAACATCTTAGTCCTAGTGTTCCAGCAAAGTCACAACTATTGAAGACTGCTATTTATCATTGAAAACAAAAATACTTCTTTCATTTCCTAAATGTTTGTCATTACTTTTAAGATTTATAAACAACAAAATGTCTTTAATGAAGGATTTACATTGTACAAAAATTTTTTAATGGCGAGTTGATTTTGCAAAATGGACTGTACAGTCTCTCAGTAACTTCTTGAATTAACTTTTAAAGAATTTGTATTTTTAAGCAACTTCTACTTTAAGAAATTTCCAATCAACTTGAAAGTATATTGTATTATTTTATCTGACTTTTTTCTGCTATTATATAAGGACATTAGTATTCAGAATATTCTGTCATCATTCCACAAAATTTCCTGCCATCTTTTTCAGAGAAATGTTCATTCACTAATATTCTATATTAGTGAATGAACAGTTCTACTGTAGGTTTAATATTCAAAAATCATGCATTTTGGTAGCAAAATCTTAATTAATATGTAAATATCATGTTACTTTTACTTTTCATTGACTGAGAAGTTTTCTTTTATATAATTAATCTTTTGAAGAAAATAAAGATTTTTTTCCATCTGTTAATTCCTTGCTAATTATTATTACATAAATTGATAAAGTGTCTAGTTTCAATAACATTTACTATTTTGTANATTACTTACAAAAAAAAAAAGGAAGTTTTCTATGTTTTTAATTTCCTGTAATTGATGCCGTAATATTTTTCTAGCCTAATTTATGTATAAAGAATCTAATGAATAAATTTTCCTGAAAAGGAAATTCGTGTTTCCTTTATTCCTTAATCTATTCCTTCAGGAAAACCCGAAGTCCTTTGGCATTTTCCCTAAAAAATCCGCTTACAAAGAGACTAGACACGCAAGATTCTGTATACAAAGAGAGCAGAAATGGGCTTACGAAGGAACAAACAGGGAAAAACTGGAGGCAAAAAGTAAGCTAACCCCCCTAAAAAAAGATTAAGAAAGTACTCAACGACCGACAGTATAGAAAAAAAAAGATCAATGAGAAGAATATTGGAGACTAGAGATAGGCGGCAAGATGTCGAAAAATCTTTATTAATTGTTACAAGTAAACATCTTTTTGTAGTTATTGGGACATAGTTATAGATATTTAGACCTATATATATATACACACACACACTACCCGTTACCCAATATAAAGACAAGGAGGAAGGAGTAGATATCAATCCATTATCAATCTATCGCCCGGTTAAACTGCAAGGACATTTATCAAAGGAGTGGGAGAAAAGTACGTGTTAAAAAAAGGAAAAAAAAAGGTGACACGCTTTACTTTTGTCGACGAATTGTCAACAGGGAAGAAAGTTTAACGTGTAGATTACAATTAATCTAATTACGTAACTCTGTGAATTAATAAATTACTTATTAATAAATTACCCGACCACTGTGTAGTGTTTTAGACCACACTAGAGATGATTTTAGGAGTTTAGCTGCATTGAAATCTACGGAAGGAAGCGAATTGATAAACGCATCGACGGGAGGCGAGTTAAACTTGTTTGAAATTGGTTAACAGAAGACCCTACTCACCTATGAAATTCTCCTATTTTTGGCGCTTTGACTTTCCTATTCTCCACGTCCGTCCACGTCTGACACAGGCAACTTGCGGCTGTAACAATATCGAACAGATAAAACTAATAATAATTGTTGTTTATAAAAAAAAAAAAAAAGCGGTATTTAGTAACCACACGACATCTATCGCTATCTACTACTCCCCGGTTCTATCGAGCTTCGCGATACGTCGCGACATGTGCAAAGGTTTCGACTCGGCTGCCGTCACGTGACGTTTATCTCTCCCGTCACGTGACTCGGAGAAGCCCGAGGTCTGTCGTAACCTCCGTACTGCATTTACATTTATTAAAAAAAAAAAAAAAAAAAAAAACAGAAATAGATATAAAAAATTGGCTAACATTGNTAGCAGAAGTTTTTAAATTGACATCTAAAAATTAGTTTAATGTCAAAGCGTTACATTGTAGGCACTGTCATGTTTTTAATGTTATGTACTTTAAAATGTCAAGATTTATCTTTCATTTGTTTCATTGTTATTGGTTCCATATTTAGCTGAAATGTGAGAATATTGAGTAAATCTATTAATTTCCTGGTACTACCAAGTGTAGCCAGATAGCATGAGATATTTCCTATAGGTTCATTAATTATATAACATAGATACCTTCTATTACAAAGCATGATTGTTTTGTATATAATAATGGAAATAATTAAAAATATGTGAATAGTATTTTGGATACACATGTAACAAAGATGATACTATGTTACTTTGTATACTTTATAACAATTGGCCCAACTATATAATATGCAATTGTGGAATAAATACATGTTTACTGTGTTCTACATTTTTATATCAGTTGTTACAAAATATTTTTGGATGAGCCTACAACCCCTGACAAATTGTATTCAAACATGAACAACACACACTGCAATTGCCTATTAAAACTGCATTATTAAAAGAAGAATTTAAAAAAGAAGAAAAAAAGCTATAATATTAATGGATATATATTAATATTCTCTACAAATGTTTTTTTATACACACAAATTTCAGCATAATTTTTCTTCTGTGTTTTATTTACATGGGAAAAATTATGCTAAAATGTAAAGTTTTTGAACGTACAAATCACTAGGAAAAAGTATTGAAACAAGCTATGAAATATTGAATTCACTTATGTAAAATATCAAATGGTGCGTATAAACAGTTTAAACATTTTATGAATACTTCTGTACCATCAGTATGACTTGAGTTACAGAATATCATTCCAACATCAGAAGACTATTTCTTCAGTTGTTAAGAAAATGCAAAGTAAATTTGCAAAAATTTTGATTTTTCTCTTTCAACAGTCTATTATATGAAAAAAAAAAAAAAGATTACACAGAGTGCTTTCTTCCACTGGACAGCATGTCAGTATTAAACAGACTAAAAACTTACATTCAGTCCAGTAAGGAAATTTAATACATTAACAAAAGTTTTTGACCTTCAGATTTAAACACATCAGGTGTGGTTGCTTTAGAAATTTAATAATTTTAAAAAAATGTAAACATGATTTAATGGTAACTGGCATTTCATATTGGAATAGTTTTGGCCAAGCATTGTATATAGAAGAGAGAATACATTACCAACGTAAAAATATCTAGCAATATAGTGCACTCACCAATCCAAATTAATTATTGCACTGGGTTGTTTGGGTTAGATGGAGTTTGTTTGCTTTATAATTAAGTAAAAAATGACTAGTTTTTGTTTTTGGCTGGAACATTACTAGCAGAATGAAAACAAGTTGTGCTATCCAAACAAAGTAGACACAAATTCTATGTCCATTTGCATTTTTTTTTTTTTTTTTCGATGCAACAACATAATAACGTTATAATATACAGTACATTAACACAATTTTGGTAATATTATGTTGTAACTAATCAGATTAATGTTTATGCAGTAAATAAGCTTGATATGATGCAATTCTAACAATAAGAACAACCAAAAAAAACTGATAAAATTACTATTACAGTATTATCATCTCATATTTGAGATAACTGAGTGAAATGATAATTTGATATAATGTTTTGGCCTTTTTATATATTTTTAATCACTTATTCCAAGAAATTTATTTTATAGCAAGCAAAACAAATAATGTTACCTTTATCTCCGATAACTTAATCCTTTTCTCGGGTTCCTTTTCTAGCATACGTTTCAGAAGATCTTTTAGATTATCGCTTACCGCAGGCCTGTATATAATTTTTAAAATATATAACATTTATCGGATCATTTAATAACAAAAACAAATGGCTTACTTGTCGGGAAACTTGAGCGGATCGTTTTTAATTTTATTATACAGATTTAATATGTTATCGTCATGAAAAGGCACTTGGCCATAAACAAAAGAATATAACGTCACTCCCATCTGCCATACATCTAAAGCCTGAGGATCAGAACGAAACATTGTTTTAATTTGGATAATTTAAACAAAATTGTGAAATGTTACCAAACTTTAAAAGCCTACCTTTCCACTGTATGTGTCCAGGTTCTCTGAAATAAAAAAAAATTTTCAAAAGTCAACATATTGATTTTCAAATACTGGATCTATTCATTTATAAAATTAATTTAGGATTAAAGTATTATTGATCACATGATTCCAAAAAAAAAACCAATAGTTCTCCCTATTTAATTAGAAGAAAGGACAGATCTAATTAGCGAGAATAAATTACATTGGATAAAGTTTGTACTTTATTGGAATTATAAACATAGCTCGGAGGGACATTTCGATTATTTATTTGACTTTGTAATATCCAAAACTCTCTCTCCCCAATGTAATTTAATAAATGTATCGATTATTATTTTGGGAGAAGCAACAGTTAAATATTTGTAAATATTAAACAAACCATCACTTCAATTTTAATGCTAATTTTATGAGGTCCTGGAAGATTCTCTCCGACTCTTAGTTAATTTACAAGAAAAAGAAATGCTACCTTTCAGTGCTTCGGGTGCCACGAAGGCGGGTGTCCCGGCAGTGTCCGAGAGCAGGGCGTCCACTCCTTCGAACTGATTACACACGCCAAAATCCGAAATCTGAAAATTCCGTGGCATTACTTTAAAATTTTTAAGAATAACCTATTCCAAAGAAGTGGGGACTACCTGAACTCTACCATTGTCATTCAGGAGAAGATTTGAAGGCTTGATGTCTCTGTGTACTATCTTCTGACAGTGTACTACAGGGACAAAGAAAAAATAAATGAAAGTAAACGCATATTTCTTTTTTCTAACTCTTATGCGTAAACAACACTTACAATATTCTATACCTAAAACCACATCTCTGAAATATTGCCACGCCTGCATCTCCTGTAATGGATTGTCTGTTGGGATTTCTACAACCGGCCTGTCCAAACAAAACAGCGGAACCAATAATTCATAAACATCAAAAGCGTACTTTCGTTGTACCATTAATATACTTACCCCTTTTCTAATAACTCAAACACTGTAAATATTTAAAATAATAATTTAACTCACTTATATTTTAAATTAAAAGCGCATAATGTGGCTATTCTTACCCATGTATAAATTATCCTCGTCAGGATCATTTAAAACCTGAAAGTATAATAGATAAGGTAGGGTGAGAATCTACAGTTTAGGGATAAAGTGTTAATAAAATATACCTCTATTAAATTCACAACGTTGGGATGATTCAACTTCTTAAGAATGGCGATTTCTCTGTACACTTGGTCTATGGGATTTGTGATGCTCTTCCTTTTTCCGTCTCTGGGAGGAGGAACGCGACCTTCAGAGAGTTAAAACGTAAATTATTACTTTCACTTTATTACATTCTCCGCCGACATATCGAATAACGTCTTTATCTCGTCCCACTTCACATATTTTATACATATTTATATAAATATATAAAGAGAGAGGAGTTCCCTACACACAAACTCTCTTTTAGAAAGGAGCCTGTGAATATAAACACCGCATTACTACCTAAACAAACTGAATAATCGAGACGTGCGTCACGAGATGGGATTTACATACGGATTAAACACATGCTTTTCTTAGACGGGGGTTTATAAACTTTGTACTCGTCGATAAAGTAAAGAGAAGGACGACGCTTGGTTCCCGTCACTCGCCGTCTCGAACGAGAAAAATAAAAGATTTTTGATGGACGAGTATTTCTGACACTGGGGAGACAATACCCAGTTAAACAATAGCGTCACAATCGACAGAAATTGCCGTTAACGTCACGGAAAATGGAAGGCGAGTGAATTGTAGTGTTATCGAAAGTGTGACCTGTGTTATCGTCAGAGATATGACCCAAAATAATAATAATTTGGATCGTTACTTAGGTTCCCAGTAGAAGGAAATCTCGTGTAATAAATGGGAAACGTAAAAAGCAAAAAAAAAATCGAATTTTCATTAAAACAAAAATGAGATTTGAATTATAATGGGTTCGAATCCACTCCTTTTCCTCCCTCACGAAAAGTTTAATAAATACAGTAACAATTAGTTATGGTGGAGCTGTCCATAAATGGCGTCCACACTGGAGGGGGAGGTTAAGACAAGTCGGAAAAAATCGGGGGAGGGAGGTTGAGTTTCAGTGGACGTCTTCCCCTCCCCTCGTCTTAACCATTAAATTTTATAGTTTATGCATTTTATTATATTTATTTTAAAATGTCTTGTATATTTCGTTTCTACTTACGGTATTCGTCATTCATAAAGTGACAAGGCTTTAAGGGGATCGAGTTTTGTCGGACGTCCGAAGAGGGGAGAAGAAGTAAAAATTTCAAGAAAAATACGGACGGACAGTCCCTAATATCGTCACAATGCCGGGCTGCAATTTTTAAAAATCACGTGGCTTCCGATCCATACCGGACGTTTGTATACAGTTTTAATCGTGCCTCCGGGCCCTAAGATTTTCATATCTGGTCCCGATTTCCATCTAACTTACGTCGTTCTCGAGACTAAGGAAGGAAGGAAGGACGGACGGACGGACGAGAGTGGGAATCTAAGTCTAATTTAAAAATTGCAGCCCAATTAGAGAGAAACGTAGCGTTAACATCCCGTAAAATTAGCCCGTTTCCCATATTAACACCACTCAAAATTCCGCATGTCAACGTGAAGGACGATTTGACACGGTCTTAGTCCCTAAAATAATTGCAACCTTTTCGGAACAAGAATTTTAAAGCGCAAACTATATAATATTTACATCCTCTCGTTCATAATTATTCAAACAAGTCACCATTTTATCCATTAAAACTCTCCGAAGTCGCTCGTTCATCAGACCGATCACGGAAAAAGAAAAAAATATATTAAGTACAGTACATATAACTTATATTAGATATATATTAATGTAACAACATCCTCGGCCGCATCGTAATTTCCGAATTTAAAACTAATTGCGGATTCCACCCACACGTTAAAGAAAAACATCCTATTCCTCTTTTGTCACGGTCACGCACGTGTGGATCCTTAATAATCAAAGTTCCTTCCGAGCGCGTGTCGCCAGCGACATTATTCGCGCCTCATTTACATTTTCTAATGGAAAGATGCGGAATAATCGTACATGAAAATAAAAGGGGGGCGCTCGATGACGTAACGCGTACATGCCGCATCGACGGCGCACGCGAATATCTCATTAATTACTTCCTAAATCCGTTTTTTTAATTACCAAACGAGTTAATTTAGATACGGAAATTCACGCGCTATCGATTCCAATTTTTTCCTCTCAAGGTTAAAGGAATGGAAAGTGAAGTATGTGGCGCCCACTTTCTATAAGGTACTCTCATCTATCACTCTTCGTATCGTGCCAGAGTGGCACACAATTCCCCTAACTGCGGCAACGGAGAATAATCATCCACTACAAAATACGCGAGTTGCGACTCTAAATATTACCCAGATGAGATATAATCATTAACGTTCTAGCTCGATGCTTCATCGATTTTGCCATCTCCAATGTCGAGTGATTGTGCCACTCCAACATCTATATCATCGTTTATTTATGCGTTTTTTTTCCTCCCCTCCCCTTTACGACATTGTAACGCCAAGTGTATGAAGTACACTTAAACTTCTCCACGGAGTTCGAGCATTCCTCGTTCTTGTAAAGAAAGAAAGGGGAGGAAACACACTCACCAAACATTCCGGCTCTCTTCATCAGTTTCTTTTTCGATAAAATCTTCATTGCCTAATTGAAAATTGTTATTATTATTATTTTTTTTTTTAAATTTCTCCTTGCAATCGCCAACGATGTAGTTTTTTTACTTACATAATGGCTGTCGTCGTCCTCGTTGTACGCCAATTTGACGATTCCGTAGGATCCCTAAAAGACAAAATCGATGCGGATGATTATTATATTGCTTTATATAATATTATTCGGTTAATGCAATATCGGATGATAAACTATATTTGGGTGTGGTTGCCTGTGCGTCTACACTGGGCGGGTTCAGTTGGCTGATAGTTTCTTACAAATTAAACGAAAATTCCTGTCCTTCCACAGAGGACAATTAAGTCGTTTCTGGTGAGGCGCTTTTAATTACCACCCCTTCGCTCTCGTAAAATGTTAAACACGTCTTTAAGTTTATCGGGCGTGACCGCGAGAAGAATTTTTAACCATCGTCATTAAAAAACTTCAAATTGTTACGCGCTTTGTGGACACGCACGCGTTTAAACGTTGCGACTTCATAAACAAACACTCAAAAGAATACATAATTATATAATCGACATATTAACAGCATCATCTACCGAGTTAAACGGCATAAAAATTATATATTTACAGAGCCTAATTAGGTTTAAAAGTAATTGGCACGCCAAAACCATTGTAATTTGTAGCCTTCCGCGTGCTGAAGTGTAATAAAAAAAAAAAAAAACATAGATAAAATTTAATTTCGACTTATTCTTGTGTTTAACAAAAGGCGAAGAATGCCTCGTTAGCTGACGTAACAAATTTGGCATGTATAATTGACTGCAGAATGCAGACGTTTTGAAATTTATTTTTGGTACACAATAACGAGCGTGTTTATTGCTGTTTATGTCATAATATACGTATCGAGTCTCTCCAGACAATTCACTTAAATAACGATAATTACGAGTAGCTACAGGAATTTAACAAATTGTATTCAATTCATTAAGAACAATGTCCTCTCGGACGAATCATCAGATATATTATTCTTCCTCCTCCGCCAACGTGGTTATGAAACAATTACACTAATGTTGATAGTGTAAGGTTTCCAGTTACTCTAGGTCGATAACACTGGATGGTTGCTGAAGTTTCGAAATTATCCACCCAAATATAACAATTTTTGAAGATTGGACACACGATATTGACATAATGGGCGATTCATTAAGGTTGGCGCGCGTTAAGGAGCCGGAGCACCCACGTTTGCACGGTGTGAAAAGAAATTGCGTATAAATAAAGTAGATGTTAATTAGAAACGAAATGAATATTTCATATTTTAGTGTTAAAATCACACCGGGTAATAACCGACAACACCAAAAAGAAAAAAAAAAAGTAGACAAATTAACTTACCAAACCAATTTCACCTTTCAAACGATATTGATTGAGCTGCAAGTAATTATGATGAGCTTCGATTGACACTCGACGACATTCCCGAGTATGACGTCGAAGGTGGGGGGAGGAGTTGGGGGAACAGAAAGGGGAAAAGGGTAAAGAAGGATAAATCGGCCTTTCGTGACTGCAGTACACCATATGGCTGTCTTGGGACTGGCTGTAAGTTATTCTGGGTAGTCTGGATCGTGCGCATTTAGTAAACGTTCTAAGTGCACCCCACAATACTTCCTCTCCGTCTTTTTCGTTTTCCACGTGGACGGGAAGTGACGTCTTTCTTGGTATCCTCTTCCATTTCGTGTCCAGCGTTAACTTATCGACGGACCGAACCAGATCGCCTTCCGATTGAGCATTTTTGTTTACAGAACACCGATCGAGTGGCACCCGATCCGAACCCCCTCCTCCCGTTCCATTCTGTCGATCGTCCTGGCGGGGTACTGATTTCTTTTGTTCTTTATCATCATCATCTTCGTCATCATCTCTACTATCGACGATTCTTGACATAGCCGTTTCCAATTTCGGATATGCATTCTGTCCGTACGCCAGTTCTGTATCTTCTCTCGACTCTGTTATGCACTTCCTTCTGGACAAAAGGAGAAACTTACTAAACAACAAAAAAATGTTATGCATCCTGTGTTCCTTTGTATTGATCTTACTTTGCTACTGTGTATTTTAATTGTTTACGGCACGCGATTCGCTTACTTAAACCCCAATCGATAGAAAAGAGTAATTTCGAATGAAAGTTTTGTCATTAACATTTTGTAAAGTATTTATATTAATTAATGATTGTTTACCGAAAACGCATTAGATAAAGGACCAACCCCTAATTAAACCTGAGAAATATGGCGTGCATTACATTATTATTATTATTGTAAAGCTTTAACTAATAATCAAAAACCGAGATGATTTCTAGTAATATATTATTTAATATTTCTGGAAAGCCTCTGCAAAAATGCCATCCAGACAACAATTGCTCTCCTTCGTATAACAATCTTCATTTGAATCGAAAACTAAGTTATAGAAACCAAAATCTTAAGTTATTTCATGAATATTTCATCAAAACTTCGAAGAAAAGAATCATTATTATATTGCTGGAAAGCGGTAAAATTCTCGATATAAATATTTCAGTGGCTTAATTCCGTTAGAAATGACCCAGTAAGAGATTGGCTTTCTAACAACATCGTGAATCGGCTGCAAGAAAATGGATTCTAGAAAATAATTAAATTTCTCCCGAATAATTTTTTTCATATTACCTTAAATAATAAAGTAAAATGGAGAATAATTATTTAGAAAAACAGAAGACGAAGGAGTAAAAAAAAGAAATTGCTTTCTTCCAGAGAATTTTTAATGGAAACAAATCATTCACTTCAGATGCAAGTTATAAATCTTCACTAATCTCCAATTAGAAGAGGAATGTGCCACGTTAAAAGAAAGGACTTTCACGGAGAATGGAAAGGGAAAAAGTCCAGATTTAATGAAAACTAAAGGGGAAAAAACAGAAAGGAAGCGAATTGTTTACTCTGATTTATTCTAAATTTGAGATTTGAAAAGTTTTGGAAATTTGACGAAGTAATTTTAATTATTTAAATATACGTTTTCCGAGAAAACTTCACTATAAAATAAATCAGGGAATAAATGATTTGCATTGTTTTGGTAAGTGAAACCTAATTATCTCGGCATCGATCATTGTCACTGGATCATTTTAGTTAATGTCCGATAAACAAATCAATCTCTTCTCCCACTCCTCCGATAAGTGATTAATTCGACCTAACTTCTGACGACACTATTACTATATTACTAAACACGGGCCTTGTCCTCGGGGGGAATCAGCGAGGCCTCAAATTTACACGACCACAAAAACCATTTGTTATAAATCGGAACCAACTTTTTAAGCTTTTCTTTTATTTTTTTTAATGTACTAGAGACTTCAAAAAAGGTATACTAAGAGCCTCAAAAAGGTAGAGGCTCTTAGTATACCTTATCCGAATGTATTTGAACAGTTACAATTACCACTAAGAGGTTTTACAGACCGCAAAAATCTACAACTAGAAACCACACACTTACCAAATGTCGCATACAAAAATAAAATAAAAAAAAAAAGTACACTACACGATGTATTTTTGATCGATTCTCTGATCGATTGAACAGTGAAATAGAATTCTAGAATTTTTTTTTCTCTATATTTTTTTGCATAAACTGAAAGAGATATTCGGAAAGGCCGACAGCAAAGACTAGACCAAAAAAAATAATAATAATGAGAGAAACTTTGAAGCAATTGTTTCCGTACTCACCGCAAGTAAACAGGAAGATTTACGATTTCCCTACTTTAAATGTTCATTAAAAAAAAAAAAAAAAAACGTTGTGTTTTTCCACAGAAGAAATCATCAGAAAAATGGAAATGTCTCTCCTTACTTTTTATTTCCTGTCATTAATATTCCGGAAAGGAGCGCTTTTCGTCTCACGCATAAAACGGCATTTATATATTAAACTACGAACATTTTACTTGTACGTAAATACATCATCTTCGCCATTTAAACGTAAATACCAGAAAAATAAATAAATAAATAAATAAATAAATTGAAGAGCGGGAAATTGTAAAATCGATATTTGTAGCATATAAACAAGCGCGCAAAAACGAACTCGCTCTTAGTTTTTTTTTTTTAATCGCTAATTATAATATAAATACGCTATTTTATCAAAATATATCATTTTTTATATCTTAATACACAATGCAATTAATTAATTTCTCATCTCTGCAAGAAGAAAATATATATATATAAAGAAATAAAAAGTAAATTACGCCAAGATCTCCCATATTTTATACAAAAACGTGGATTTTTTAAAGGTTTTTTTTTTAGCAATTTTTTTGGCTAATCTTCGACGGAAATTGCAGAACTTCAGCCATTTTCTTGTAATTCTTAACAGCTGTGTGTGAATGGAGTATTTACAAGTTATTACTCTTGTAGCTTTCTTGTTAAAAAAAAAAAAAAACTGACTGCACACAATACTTTTTTTTTCCTTCTAAAAAAATATGTCAAAAAAATGATCTTCCACTTCAGAAATATCTCGGAATTAATTATAAAAATCCTCGGGAAATATATATTAAAATTTANGGCAATAAATTATTATTTGGTCAATATAACAATATAAATAATTCAGTATATTTGTAATAGGAATTTATTATTTCAGGGGCTTATATCTTGCGAAGGGTCGTGAGTAGGGGTATGGTTCCTTTGCCTTTATTGTTCGCACAGGGGGCTACAGTTTGGGGGGTCGCCACCTCTTCACCTAATCTTACCATTGGAACTTTAACAGAGCTGTACAGCATATTGATAGGAACAAAAAAGTCAAAGGAACTGTGCTTCATGGAAATTTGTAAACAACGCCCACTAGGGGGCGTCCTGGGCTACTAGTGTCAATATAATTAACTAATAAAACTATGTTTCTGCTTTTCATGCTGTTACTGTTCTTTTCAACTTTTGATGGCAAATGTTTCATATTGCAATTTTAAAGAAATTTATGAAAGAAAACAATAACAAAACTAGTCTCACCAGAGTATCCAGTTTAGGAATCGAGCGAACGCATTGGTCTATCTCTTCTTGAGTAACTTCGACCACGACGCAGTTCTCTTCTTGCGAAGGTAGAGGACACAAGCCATCTTGTGTCACCCAAGTATGAGTCTAATAAACAAGAATGAAATTTGTTATCCATAAGAGGAAAAAGAATTAAACAACCATTTTATAGACTAAGCCATAAATACATGTATAAGTAGGCTACAGCATAACTGAGTGGAAACAGAAAAAGATATAAGAAACTTTTTGAGCACTAAAATTTTCTACCGACTTAAATATGGTATCATCATATCGTTACTGCAATGTTTGTGAGAATGTTTTAATACTTGATATATCAGAAAATGAACTTGTAAAATATTCATGTTTTTAGCAGAATGTGGGGTTATTTCAAATAATAGGTGGTAATAATCCAAGGAGATGCTTGTTTCAAATTATTTCCAATGTATAAAGATCAAAGTAACACTGATTGCACAATAATGACTTTTATTCCTTAAATTCTATGAATGGATTTCAATAAAATTTTCAGAGTAGATTGTGTATGTGCAATGTGCTCAGTTGCATAAAATTTCTTGCTTACAAAAATTATGAAAGTCAATGGCACTTATTACAACTCTTGGACTTGCCCATTTGGTGTTTAAATCCAGCATTGAGGAGACCCACAAAACAGACTCTTCCCAAATTGTCCCTTAATCAATATCTCTCCTCAACTATCTTCATTGTACGGGGAACATTTTTTTTTAGAACAATAAAATTATTAGTGACAACTATTCTGTAATACATGTGCAAAGACAATGTGTGCTTTGTGGTTGGAATTATTCCTCCCTCCTCTATAATATAACTGCTATCGTACATTTTTTTATACAGATGTATATAAAATAGCATTGTCTAAATCAAAAAAAGACACACCTTAATTTGCTGAGAAAATTTAATGAAAAGCAAACATTTTCAGCCAAATCTGTTGGCCATCATCAGGCTAAGATATTCAAATATAAACAAAATAGAACAAAACTTTAAATACAAATAAAATAAAAATTATTATTATAAATAACAATATATGTATATAAATACTTGCATAGGTTAATTAAATATTAAAACTTTATATAATAATACATTACATGAAATGCAAGATATACAAAAATACTAAAATCAAGGCATTAAATTAAGATCTCTCTAATTGTTTGATTAAGTATTTCCAGGCCAAAGGCAACCCTTCTGAATCTCTAGAATTAATGCATGCATGCAATCTGCTCTTATATATTTCAATTTTTTCGGAGCAAATCGCCAACGTCGGTGAATCCACTGGTTTAATAATACTTGCTTCATCCCATTTGACGATCGAGCCCTCAACGTGCGCCAATTGTGATAGTATTGTGGCATTAGATCCCTTGCTGATATTGTATTTGTGTTCTTTTAATCTGACTCCTAAATTTCTGTTAGTGACACCAATATAATTTTTATTAATGTCTAGTTCACGATTTTCATATGGAATCTTGTATACACCTGCTCTTTTTTCTTTATCTATGCTGTCTTTGTCATTCCTTAATAATCTGTACAGATTAGGAGCTCTCTTGAAAATTAACCTGGACTCTTTGCGGGCTGAGATTTCTTTCATGATGGCTTTTCTCTTTCTATCATACGTGAACTTCGTGATTTTGCCGAAACCGTCGTTTTGCGTTTTAGTTTTATTTGTTTTGTATTTTCTGACCAATGTTGTTATCATACCTTCTTTGTACCCTAGAGATCTGGCAATATGCAATATTCTATTAATTTCTTTTTGCCTATCCA